TAAGAGTTATTCACAATAAGGCGTGTAGCTGACCTGATTGACAGGTGGGCGCGGTGTATACGGTTTGTCAAGAGGCTTAAAAACCGCCTCAGCTCCAGCTCTTCAGCCTGTCGTTAGGTTGACTGAAAGTTAGGTGAGACAGTATTTCCAGCATGGAGACCGCCATCGATGGGACTCCAGCGCCCCTGCAGGAACAGACGAGTGAAGCTTCTGCAAGAGATATCTTTGATTAAACAAAACTGTTTTCTTCTCTGTTTCTTCTTCTTCTCTTTATTTGGAGCATGCTACACTTCCTGTTTGCTGACAACAGTTTCAGCTGTGGGACTGTGATGAATGTGTGGTCGTCTCAGTCCTGCAGGCCGAGCAGCAGAAAATTTATTTCTGTGAGTTTTCTGTAGGAGACGTGTGTCCTCTCTCGGTGTGACAGCCTCCCTCTCCTCTCATTTAAATCACTTCATCCTCGCTGCTGTTGTGGCTGCGTGGGGACATGGGGGGTTTGTGCTGACGTTTGGTTCCTCCCGCTCTCTTGTTATTGCAGTGTTGTAGATAGGAACACGCGACTCTGCTCCGCCCTCCGCCTCCACCCTGCCTGCTCTATTTTCACCCAGACAGCTGAAACATGGCTCCTGTCGCCGCTTTATCTTCTCTCCTCTTCTTCACTTTCTCTCCGTCCTGAACACACATTTCTCTCTCCTCTCTCCCCTCCCCTCCTGTCCTCGCTGCTTCTCCTCTTTCCTCTCACACACTCAGGAGGCGTTTTGTTGTTGTCTGTCCCTGCAGATCTCGTCTCCAGTTTTTATCTTCTCTGATCTCTTTCTCACAGATAACAGTGTTTTATTTCCCTCCTCTGCAGCAGTTCTCTTTCCTCGTCCTCTGTTGCAGCTTTTTCTGTATTTTGATTAAAGCCAACACTACTCATCATTTTCTTACTTTTAATAAAACAGCCAGATCTGTTTGGATGCAGCTGGCCCTGCTTCTCCTCTGCTCTGAATGATTGTCAGATCAGATAAATTTAAATATTGATTGATGTGTGTTGATTCATCAGCTGTCTATTCTTTACCTGTGTCTCTGTCCTGCAGAGTCTCTGTGCATCCAGAGGTTCGAGCCCGGCCTCGGTCTCCTCACTCCCATCAACCCCATGATGGCGGGAATCAGCCTGGTCCCGCCCCCTCCCATCCCCCCTGACATGCCCGTCATCAAAGAGATCATCCACTGCAAGAGCTGCACGCTGTTCCCCCAGAACCCCAGTAAGACCCGAGATCATTCATCAGCAACATCGCATCATTGTCATACTCCCTCATTCAAACATTCAGCCAGGAAACATGATGGTGATGTCATTGTCCTTCAGGCCTGCCCCCTCCGTCCACCCGGGAGCGCCCCCCCGGCTGTAAGACGGTGTTTGTCGGAGGTCTGCCGGAGAATGCCACAGAGGAGATCGTCAGGGAGGTGTTCGATCAGTGCGGAGAGATCACCGCCATCCGAAAGAGCAAGAAGAACTTCTGTCACATCCGCTACAGCGAGGAGTTCATGGTGGACAAAGCCATCTACCTGTCAGGTGAGTCACACAGCATGATGATCACCCTCGCAGCGTGGTGTTAGGTCGACTGAAAGTTAGGCTGAGACACAGAGAACGGCATGGATGGGACTCCAGCGTCCCCTGCAGGAACAGATGGGTGACGTCCCTCAGGATTCATCTTTACAGTCTGTGTTTAAAACTTGCAGGAGGCGAGTAATACTCACCTCAGCCTCTAGTGGCCAAAGTGAGCAGCACAACTACATTTCAAAACGCTTTTCTTTGTGCGTTTTCTCAGACGGATAAATGTTGTTACCAACTGATCCTCTGAAGGTCGTGCTGGTTAACAGAGCTGTGCATCTTCACTGGCGTCCTGATTCCATTTGATCCTCTCCTCTCAGGGTATCGGATGCGAATCGGCTCCAGCACCGATAAAAAAGACTCGGGGAGGATCCACGTGGACTTTGCTCAGGCCAGGGACGACCTGTATGAGTGGGAGTGTAAACAACGCCTGTTCGCCCGAGAGGAGCGCCACCGACGCAAGGTCCACGAGGATCGCCTCCGACCGCCGTCTCCCCCGCCCATCGTGCACTACACAGAGCACGAGGCGGGGCTGCTGGCAGAGAGGCTAAAAGGTGAGGTGAAGTGATGGATTATAAACTGCTGAGTCATGAGAGGCGGATGTGCCTCAGTAGGATTCAGCTGGTGTCATGGTAAAAGAGATTTAAAAAAAAACAAACATTTACAGTAAGCAGATGAATCTGAAAGCATGTTCTCACAGTGATCTGTGTGCGTGCGTGTGTGTTACCTGCTGTGATACCTGATCAAAAGTTCAGGTGAATCAGTGAGAAAGCTGAACAATTATTGATCCTCTTCATCCTCGTTTAAACACAGAAACAAACAAAGAGCTGACACAGAGAAAGCTGAAGAGCTGCAGGAGGAACCTGTGTAGACGTGTTCACCTGTACAGACATGTTCACCTTTAGACACATGTTCACCATTAGACACATGTTCACCTGTACAGACATGTTCACCTTGAGAGACATGTTCACCTGTACAGACATGTTCACCTGTACAGACATGTTCACCTTTAGACACATGTTCACCATTAGACACATGTTCACCTGTACAGACATGTTCACCTTGAGAGACATGTTCACCTGTACAGACATGTTCACCTTGAGAGACATGTTCACCTGTACAGACATGTTCACCTGTAGAGAAATGTTCACCTGTGTAGACATGTTCACCTGTACAGACATGTTCACCTGTACAGACATGTTCACCTGTACAGATGTGTTCACCTTTAGAGACATGTTGACCTGTACAGACGTGTTCACCTGTACAGACATGTTCACCTGTGTAGACATGTTCACCTTTAGAGACATGTTCACCTGTACAGATGTGTTCACCTTTAGAGACATGTTCACCTGTACAGACGTGTTCACCTGTGTAGACATGTTCACCTGTGTAGACATGTTCACCTTTAGAGACATGTTCACCTGTACAGGTGTCTCTGTGCAGCTTGTTTCTTTGTCCTACTGTCCGTCTGTGTCTCTCAATTTTAAACAATCAAATGAGCTTATCAAAAACTTCCCCGGGCGTTACCTGCGGCCCTCACCCTCTCCGCTGAGTCTCGTCTCTGCTGCATCTCGTCCCGTGTCAGATTCAGCGCTGGTTATTTGATCTGAAAGTCAACCCTGAGCCTCTGAGCGTTTATCCTCCTCTACCGGCACACATAAACATTCGTGTTTCCTCTGAATAACCTTTTTGAATGTATTCTCCTCCTCTAACAGCTGAGAAATAAATTTAATTCTTCCTCTGTGGTCGTCTCCGCTCAGCTGTGTCTCTTGTGCTCCCGTAATGTGACTGTAATCTGCGCGTGCGTGTGAATGAGCCTCTATCAGAGCGGGGAAAGTGTCTTCTACAGGTTGTGTAGCGGCGGGTATTGAGCTCATTAAATGTTCTCTAATTCACTCTGTTCTGTTCGCCTCCATCGCTCCCTTCCATTATTATTCAAATGAAACAGAACGACAAAAGCCCGCAGAGACCTCTGAGACGGGATGCCGAGCGAGGTTTGGTTGGAAAGTTGGAAATCAAAAATGCTTTTTGTGCTCGTGGCTGTGACGGGTTCACAGAGGCATGAGCGGTGAACGCCCCCAGGAGGAAGAGGAAGTCTGCTGTTTGTTTAGCCCGACTGAGCGCTAAAGGTCCATGAAATACGTTCAGACATCCAGATACTGCAGACTCTGCTGGTGTGAGACTTCATGGAGCAGGCACACGCTCTGACGGCACAGAGAACGCTACAGAAGTTAAACGTTTATTATGATGAGTTTTTATCATGCTCTCAGATCCTGCTGGAGTAAAGTCCACACATTCATTTTTAGTTTGATGGTAGTTTATATTAACGCTGTTTGTCTCAGATATCTTAATCTTTATTCTCTCCTCAGATGATCTTAATTTCTGCGATGCCACGGCGTTCTTTACACGTGGATCGACCGCGGCGAGGTGAACCGACGCACCGCCAATCACTTCTACTCCATGATCCAATCAGCAACAGCCACGTGCGCAGGCTGATGGGAGAGAAAGCTCAGCACGAGGAGAGATGGAGCGGCCAAGGAGACGTTCAGAACGCCCTGATAGCGATCCTGACACAGTGTAAGACTCTTTTTGTTTCTTCATGTTCAGTCGCTGCTCAGAGGCGGGCGAAGGAGGGACGCTCTAACTGTGACCTGCAAGTAAGATCACATCGTTACAGGTACCTTTATATTTTATATCTTAACGTTAAAGAAAGATAACATTTCTGTAAATAATTAAATAAAATAATAAAGAATCTTTAAACATTATTAATCCCAAAGGAATATCTCTATCCAGCTTTCTCCAAAATGAAATGTGTGTGAGACAAACGAGCCTCAAATATATAGATCCCACTTTAGGTCAGTCCCCATCAGCCTCCAGTGTGTCTGCTGTCATAGTGACACCTCTCACACACACACACACACACACACACACACACACACACACACACACACACACACACACACACACACACACACACACCACACACACACACACACATATTCTAGTGCAGCTTTCTTGTGCAGAGTCATTTACTCAGCCAGCATGTCTCAGCCCCGTCTCCATGACTATGCTCCTCCATCCGTCTCCCCATTATTTCCATTATCCTCCGCTCGCCGCGTGGCGGACACACACTGGTTCAGAGTCAGAGATGTGAAAACGCTCTGCCCTTTTCAGAGACGGGCTGAAGAAGATACCAACACTCAGGATCAATCCCAGGCTCATTTGTTATTAAACTAAACTAAACTCGATATGTCTGTGCAGGTGGAGCTGCAGTGAGGGTGTTTATCCACCAGGGGGCGACATTTCTCCGATAGTGTCCTGAAAATCTTTTTGTTCTGATGAATTCTGTTTCAGTCTGTTCACTTGAACACAGCAGATGGTCAGTGGATCTCTGTAAGGTCTTGTCTGCGTTAACGTCAGGTGAAGTCGTACAAAGAGCGAGGAGCCATACACGGAGGAGGTCGGGCGGGTGGATGGTTTTAGACTTGATGAAATAAACTTTCTGCTAGAAAGAGCATCGGGAAATCTTCTGCTGTGCGTCTGGTACTCACCCGGTCAATCATTATTTTCAAATCGCCAATTCATAACAAGGGTTATCTTGACGCGCTTTATAAAGAGCGGGTAAAAGACCTTACTCATGAAGAAAAATGGGAGGAGATGGGAGAAGATGCAGGAAGGATTTCTATTCCTCGCGTTCCTGTTGTCCACACTTCCTCGCCGCTGAGGTCGGAGCAGGCCGTGCATGAATGAAGACGGCAGTGGTTGAGGGGGCGACACTCTCCTCTGATTGGCCGGCAGGGGCATTTGAGTGAGCTGCCCGGGTGGGCATGTTCGACAACTTTGCTCCTAGCTTTGCTCTGATAAGTCTCCAGAACCTGACGCTCAAGATTACTTTTTTTTCTTTTAAGATTTAAAGATGGAGCAGTAGAATAGATTTCATGTCAAACAGTTTCTCCTAAAGAAGTAAACAAAGTGCAGAATATAAATACAATGTAAGTCAGCCTTCAGACGATGAATCATCTCAACCTGACCACATGAATCTCCATCTTTAACAGTCTTTAGTCACACGGTGTCTGTGGGGAAAACCTAAGAGGTAAGTCAAACCCGTCTCTGTCTGAGTCTTACGAACAGGAAGTCCAGGTCTCAGGTGTTTCTCCATGCTGTTTGGGTTTTTATTTGATGTTCTTCTTGCAGGTTTGTTGAGTCAAAATGTTGTCTGTGCTGAAAGTGTTTGAGACAGATGAGAAAATGTCAGAGCATTTTATAACAAGGCAACATTTTCCAACATGTGTGTGGCTGTAGTGACTTGAGGTCAAAGTTCAAATCTGTCGTAATGATTGAACATCATCTCAGCTGTTATATTATTTATAACGTAAACACACTGAGGTGTATAAAAAAAGAAAAAGCCTCCATTCTGGATAAATGTTGCCTCAGTGAGTCGTGAGGAAAGTGAGACTGCAGGTGATGTAAGTACAGAGAGACGGACAGGAGAGAGACACACACACACACACACACACACACACACACACTACCAGGCCTATTCTGTTAAACTCAGTGTATCTGCACGACTTTTTCATTTGTCTCCTCATCAGTTCATCATCTGCTCAGCGACTCTCTGCAGGAGTTCAGAAGTCAGACTGTCTTAAAGGGAACATGCAGCTTTATATATAATGTATGCTTAAATATAAAGGACAGGAGCTCTCTCTGTGGTTTGTCTACAGACATGGCTGCCTTTAATCTACAGTTACTTCATCTGCACTTTGTCTGTCCTGCAAAACGATGCAACACATTACGGGACCCTGCACAGCTATCTACTGTATGTTTTCACTATTCACAGAGCTGTAACACATTTGTGATTGTTTAAGGATCAATCAGTGAGCTGGTAGCGAGTGAAATGATAAAGGTACCTTACTGTATGATCAGACATTAAGGAAACATGCTATGTTGAAGTGCTGGCATGGTAACCTGCTTGAGCATCGACTCTAGAGAGGAGGGGGCGGGGGGAGACAGTTCTCTACAATGTTTAGAATTTGGACTGCAGTACCCATTTTAAACACCAGGGGTCATAGTTACATATTGCTCCTTTAAGGAGTCCGACCTGAGCCGGTGATGCCACTGTTTTTGGAGTGAACTGTTAAAATGAATCAAAGGTCAGGTCAGTCTCTCTTCTGTCCACTGTACGAGTTTCAGTCAGAGCTACAACGCTACATAAAACGCTTGTTTTGTCTTGACCCCCTCCTCCTCCTCCTCCCCCTCCTCCTCCTCTTCCTCCCTCTTCACCCCAAAGTCGAGCAGATCACCACCGTTTTCACCGCCGCCACCAGACAAAAGGCATGGGACCATTTCTCAAAAGCTCAGCGCAAGAACATAGACATGTGGAGAAAACAGTGTGAGGTTGGTACTCCTTCTCTTCTCTCTTCCTCCTCCTCTGCTCGCTGACAGACAGACCTGAAGGAGTCTGTGATTTTCTTGATGCTTCGGTTTTTCAGACAGACAGACAGTCAGACGGATCACTCTCTCTCCCTTCTGGACGTAAACCAAAGATCTGATGCCTCCTGGAAAGTGTGAGGCGCTGCCATGGTAACAGATTTTTCCAGGTTAAGTCTGTGATTAATATT